TGGGGAAAGGTCTAAGATGAATTGAACTAGAGAGTCATGAGTGTTGATATTGAACAAAGGTTTAGGATGGAAAAACAAATTTGAGGGCTGAGGGTTGACTACATTCACAGCAGAAACCAGATTTTTAGAAAGATAGTAGAGTGTTGCAGTTGTCCTCTTGTGTTTTATTGTGTTTTATTGTGTTTTATTTTGCGTCATTACTCGAGGACGAGTAATGGTTTAAGTATGGGGGTGTGATAACTCTATGAAAATAGAGTTAATTGAGTATTTCCCAGGCTTAAATTATTACCTAGAGGGTAATTAGTATTAGTTTTTCTCCTTTATTTTGTCTTGTTAATTGTTTTTAGTTATTTGTGATTCATAAATTCTCTCTCTTGTGATTAGCGTTTAAAAAGAGCTAATTCAGGTGCGCTTTGTGGTTAATCTCAGCTTTAAGAAAACGTGGTCGTTTGGAGCTTTGAGCAGCTTTTCATTTCTAGAGTATGAAGGAATCCTAGTCAGCATTGCTGTGCATTACTGCAGCAAGACGAGCTGGGCAGACGTGTGTTTTGCTGACAGCTGGACCTGAGTTGGTTAATGGGCTGATTTTGTCCGTGAAGGGTGCTGATTGAGCCACTCATTGGAGACTTTCTCATGTGCTGCCATGTGAAATTAGGGTACAATAAGTACCTGCAGCTGAGAAGAAAGAAGGTTCCTTGGTCATATTTTGTAACGTAGAGGCGGCTGAACTTGGAAAAGGAAACCACCTCCATTTCTCTGATCAAGTACCAGCTCCAAGACTGGAAAAAAGAATAAGGAAACTTCACATGGTGTTGAACGTAAAGGAAGACCCATTGTGGATGAAGGAAGCATTTAGAAGAAACCTTGGAAAAGGGGGATTCTGATTCTCCTCTCTTCACCTTAGTTTTTCTTACTCTCATTGCTCTGTTTTACTTTGTTAAAGAATATTTACGTTCCTTTATAAATCTGAACTCGAATCCATATATATATAACTATATGAGATTATGATTTGTTGGCTGAGATTGTTGAGTTGTTAAATATCAAAATGTTAGTTTATGTTGAATGGATCTGATGATTATTTCTTTGTTTATTCAAGTGAGCTGAATTTGTGCCTTAACTGTGATTGGGAAATCATAAGAGAGGAGTATAGCTTTGATTAGATTTGGGAAGATTTAGTTGAGTGGACACAACTTGAATAGTGCAGGTTCTTAGATCTTGTTTTAGATTTTTGATTCACATGATATAGGAATATATTGTGTCTTGCATAGCCATATGATTTAGAGCTTCATTCTCTGATTTTAGAGTCTAGATTTGCAAAGGGATTTGTGGGATTTAGCTTTAAGATTAGTACACAGAGGATTGGAAAATCCCTGGTTTAGTAAATCTGGTTAACAGGAAGTCTTTGTTGCCGTCCGTTGCTGCAGCATCGCGCAACATTGTTAGGAGACAGTTTAGCAATTGTGAGCCACGCACAGTGACTTTGGCCAATTTTATTTGCACATTTTGTTATTAATTAGTTTTATCTTTGTTGTTCATTTTCTTACAGTCAGATTATTATTAGTTTTTAACATCTTAAAATCAACTTTAGTTTTCTTCTTAAAACTTGAATAGAATTAACTTAGCAACTTGATTTCAAAAACACTCAATCCTTGTGGGACGATACTTGGTTATTCATCATTTTACTACTTGTTGACTCGTGCACTTGTGAGATTTTAGATTCACAATTTTAGGCAACACTTGTGCATTTGGTTGTGTAAGTAATTTATCATAGTATAAATTACTTGCTGATACCTGTAATATGGAGATTTTCAGTTATATTTTCTTTGAGAAAAAAGATGTTTGGTTCCGGTTGTTGTGTTGGAACTGAATGTCTATATTTATTCATTTACTCATTTATTTATTTGCTTATTCACTTATTTATAAAGTTATTTCAAAAATATATCCTACTAGGCCTTTCGCTCATGTTTTATTATTTTATAAATGTTAAACCCCTCCCAGGTGACTCTAGGAGCAGTGCGGAATAACTGAGTTGCTACCACCCGATTAAGAAAGGATTGTGTTCATCCTCCTGGTGTACGAATGCAAGAATTTATAAATTCTGTAAACTCTGATATTTGGATTTCTAGACTGTGGTTGATGTCTGTAATGTTATTTACACGTGTCATGTATGTACAATACTGAAAGATCCCGTGGGTGTAGCCCTGAACAGTGTTAGCGGCGGAAGTTTTAGCCTCTTGAGATGTTCTTGCAATTTATTTTCGGTAAAATGTGGGCCTCGTTTAGGAATTTCCTTAATATTTTATTCTTAATCATGTTTAACTCTTAATCGAGCCTTCACGTCACAGACTCCTGTCCGGGGCGTGACACTAACTTATGAGGAAAATTCTCTTAATGGTAACAAAATTCCATAATACTTTTTGGTAAATGAACACTAAATAGAAAAAGAAAAACTCAATATTCTCCACTCTTTTATTAATTTTCTTTTCTTTGCAAAACCGTTCCCTCTCCGTTACGTTCTATTACAAGTAACTAAACATGACTCTAGTTTGGTAGGTGGAAACTCTGATTCCTCTGTTTTGTGAATTTGTTCTTTTACAGAGACAATAAATGAAAAAGATAATCTTAAATACACTAATTTTTATCTCTCAAATATTATTTTTAAGAATTCTGAGAGTATTTTAAATATTTAAAAAAAACATAAAATGTAAAGAAAAACAAAGAGATAGATAAGTATTTTCAAGAATATATTCAATGTTCTTTTTATAGAAAGTGTTATTAAATGTAGTTGCCTTTACTTTTGTTTATGTAAGCAATACTATCTTAAACCATGATGTTATCATCAAAAAGTCCAGACTTCAACGGAAAAACAACCATATGTAGAAATTCCCTAATTATACATGAATACTAAAAACAAGAACTGGACAATACATAATTAATGAGATATTTACATTTTTATATTCTGCGTTTAGGTTTATTCAAAATGTATATTTTCAGTTTTTAATCTCATCAGATACATATATAAATTTATACCTTATTTAGGTTAATAATTGATTTTAACTTTTAAAATGACTAAACTATCCTAACAAAAAAAAAGAGAGAAAATAAAATAAAACTTTTCAATATAGCAACAATAAAAATTTAAAACACAAAAAAATCTATTTCAATGGTATTTTGTATATTTTTAAGGTTATAATTGTAAGTTTAAGGTTTTTTTACTTTTTTTTTTCTATTTCTTTTCTAAGTTAATATCAAGAATTAGTTGTAGAAAGGTATAAATTTAATTATAAGATATATACATAAAAAACGAAGAGTATAATTTTTGAATAAATTTAAAACACAAGTAATAAAAAGGTAAATATCCCGGTAAAGAATACATCTAACTTCCAATCAGAGCACAAAAACATATAAATTAGTTACTTTATTAATTTATTAATTTCGGCCTTTTAAAAAAGACATTGCCGCCTCTCACTCTCACCAGCTCACGCCCCAAGAGAAGTCATGGCAAAAGACAACAAGTTAGCCCGGGGATTTGTTACACGCGATTATAAGACGCGTGGGGGATGTCGCAGCGTTCGTTGGACTTGGAAGGAGTTTGGTAATCACTCATTGATTAACCATAAAGCCAGTTTTAGTTTGGCTGGCCGTCTCTGTTATTTCTTTAATTCTTTTATTTTTCATTTTTGCTTTCTCTTTCTCTCTCTTCAATGTAATCTGGGTTTTTGCTCTTTCACAAGTTTCAAGTTATCCACTTCTCCCTTTTTTTTTTTCTCTGCTCTGTTTGGTTTCCTAGAAAATCCTGTGGGAAAAAGTGGATTGGCTGTGGGTTTTGGTTTGTGGGTGTTTGATGATTTGTTCTGTTTTTCTCATCATTTGGAAAGATGGGCACTTTATTTGAGGACCCATTAATGAGAATCTGAAGTTAACTTTCTTGGCTCTGAGACTGAGAGAAAGGAAGAGAAACCAAAAAAAAAAAAAAAAATGAAGGATTTTCCTGGGACACCTGGGACTTTGACTGGCCTTCTTCTCAGGATTTCACAATGTGTTTTTGCAGCTGGTTCAATCGCTTCTATGGCAACCACTACAAGCTTTTTCAATTTCACTGCTTTCTGGTAAATAATAAACACACACACACACACATATAACATTTACGTATATGTATGTATAATGTGCGTTGTTTATGGTTTCCTTTTTGGGCTATTTCTTTTTCCTGCTTCTTATAGTTTTTTAGTTCAGCAACTTTTTTTCCTCTTTATTTTTGTGTCAAAGTCGATTATGTTTGATTGATGAGTTAAAGCTCCAAACTTTTTCATGGCTAATTACTTGCTTTAATTATAGTTTTTTGCCCAATTGGCATTTCAACTTATTGTTGAATTAGATCAGAGGAGTTCTGATATTTGGAGTCGAAATATTTTTCCTCTTGCCCCTGGATACCTCTTTAGGAAATTTTTTGGCCTTATAATTGATTTTATTTTTTTATAATGATTAATTAATGAGGATTTATTTGATGCTTATAAGCTAATTAATGGTGACCTTCATTTTTTAAGCAATCACTGAAAGTCTTGTTTGCACAAAACATGAACAACATCTTGTGCATAAGATTACATTTTTTTTTAATCCTTATCAATGTTGATGAGCGTGATTTTAGACTGTTTATGATTGTTACTATCAGTTGATGGCCCCGTTAGGAAGGAATCACCACTGGCTCAAGTGTCTGATTCGGTTAAGTTTGGAGGTTGTTTTTCCGGTAGTTCAGGCATTTCTTAGCTTATTTAGTAATGGCTTAAGGAGGTGCATAGCATTGTTCCATGGCTTAAGGAGCTTTTAGGACTCCTAGTTGGAATCTTTTTATTGTATGAAGCTTTGGAACTTAGCAATGAACAAGTGAAAAGCAAAAGAACATAAGGAAAGATATTCGTCTCTGGCTCGAATTTAGCCCTTTGGAGAGCAAGAAAAGGTAAGGGTGCCTTGTCGAATGTTTTGACATTCTTCTTGATTTAACAAATAATGTGAGGACCACATTTATCAGTTACCTTTGTGCTTGTCCTTATTCTCCTTGTGAAGGACTGAAGTCCAAGATAATGAAAGAACTTATGGGTGATGCATGAGAATCATATAGACATTTTGTTGTAGAAAACAAATTAGTAAGGTAACTGAGTAATTTAAAGAAAGCTAAGCCTATACTATAATTTGGATGAAGTAGGCCTTCAACGAATACAGCTAAAAGCTAATAGGCTTTTGAATTTTACCTGCTGAAATGTAAAATGAGTAGCTGCAAAGATATGAAACTTATATGTATGAGGTTAACTTTTCACATTTGTAAATACGGTTGTCCTAATTTTCTTTAAATTCAGGGTCGATCATTTTTAGGGTAGTAGAGAAAAGCACGGTGAGTCAGAGAGGTGTGTGATTTCTCGTGTAATTTCTTTTTGGTCATATTAAATTACTACAACAGTTCAAAGTGGACGTAGTTCTCACATGGAGGATGAACCACTATAAATGATGAATGTGTCCTTGTTTGTATGCTTGTCCTCTGCAATTTTATTGCTTGCGGTGTTGTAGAATTATTGCGTCTAATTCTTAAGATTCACTAATTGATGTGCTAGGAGAACTTGAAGTACCAAATTTTGCTTTTGGCCGGTGCTTTAATTAACCTTGTAGTGTATGCTCTCACCGTACCATATGACATTCTATACTGCATGATAGAATAGGTCTCAACGCGAATGATGCTTCAGCCAAGCTCATTGTCGCTGCTGTTAAGGCATCATCTCAGGACGCACATAAGCAGCAACCTTTTTGTCTATATACCTTATTGTATATTTTTAATATAATACCATCTCTGTTTACCTGGCTGTAGAATTCATCATGGTCCAAAGATCATTATACCTTTTAAGGCTTCTAGATAGCTTGTTTAAAATCGATATTCAAATGTCTTCCGAACATAGCGTGACAAACGAATTCCATTCTTTTGACTCGTAAAAGGTTATGTTTCGGTTTAACATAATGTTGTTTTCTTGCAGTTACCTGATCGCTTCTATGGGTCTTCAAGTGATCTGGAGCTTTGTCCTTGCATTGTTAGATGCATATGCCTTGGTGAGAAGAAAGGCCTTCCACAACCTGCTTTTGGTTAGCCTCTTTGTAGTCGGAGATTGGGTTAGTCACCACAATTAACACTTAAAATCCGGCAATCGTTGTCCTTTATTTTAACAGCTTCCTCTTTGTCTAAATCAAAAAAAATAAAATGACTAGGTTACGGCGACATTGTCTCTCGCGGCAGCTTCTGCTTCGGCGGGCATAACGGTGTTGTACTTTAGTGACTTGGGACACTGCAATTTCGGAGGAGAATGCCAAAAGTACCAGATGTCCGTGTGCTTTGCCTATCTAAGCTGGGTCACAATTGCAATATCTTCTCTAATAATGCTCTGGCTATTGGCTGCAGGCTAGAGAATAGAGACCCGTTTTATTTGTATAGGTAAATTGGATTTGTTCCACTTGTTACAACTGTAGGTTTGCTTGTCTTGTAGAAAGTTTTGATGTCTTTCATCTGAGTCAATAGGAAACAAAAGGAAGAAATATTATCTGATCGATTGAATCGTGTGCAGTTTGGGAGGAGGGGAAAAGAAATGATTTTGTAAGATCAGAAAAATGGTAATTAGTACTTGCCTAGTAAAGGGTTTAAGTTTTTTTTTTTTTTTTTTTTTTTTTTTGCATTAAGTTTTATTTGAAAAAGAAGAGAATTGTGGCCAAAAGAAATCTTTTAAATCTTTTTTCTGTGTGGGTTTTTTTATGATATTTTTTTTTTCCTGTGTGGATTTAATCATTGGGTGGCTTTTCTTGTGCTCGTCGCCAAACTTCCTTTTGGTTGAGTTAGACAAAGCGTGGCCAAATTATACTCGAAACTATTAAGTAGAGGACTCTTTAACAAATCATTTTGTTCAGACAAGTAGTGGCCAAAAACTATTTTAAGTTGAGATGATCTTGTTCTCTTCCATTCCACCTAGCAAAAAACACAAAATTAAAAAAAAAAACTAAAAGAAAAACAACAACAAAGAAATAACCTTTCAGTTAAAATCATGTCAAGTGCAAACGACAAATGGTCACGAGCGAAAGCAATTGGTCGAAATTACGAGTAATGTTAACACCATATACTAATAGAAAATAGAAAGTAGGTCTGAGACGTGCAAATCTAGTCAACCTTTTATTAGTTTGGTGTTCCAAAGCCTTTTTCAGAAATTATGTCTAGCGCAAACAAAAGAATGATTTGCGCTCCATTGGTATGATGACAAGGAAATGACTTGATGCTTTAAGGAGTTTATTTATCGTAAGATCGCTCTGTCATATGTATTTTATAACTATTGACTATTTTCTGTACAATTTAAGTTAGGTGGTGCGTCTAATATGAGGCTAAATACCATGAGAAAATTTTTTAAACAACATCATTGTACTTGCTTCATAATCGCTGTTTGATTTAAATCTTATGATTGTCGGTCAACAACCCTATAAATGGGATGCATTTATTGTAAAACTTTCCATAATTTTGATAACCAAAGCTACAAAAATAAAAATAAAAATAAAAATATTCTTTTCAACAAAGATACTTAACATGTATGGGAACAAAAATATTTTATTATGCTACAAAGCGTTTATTTATGTGACAAATAACAATGTCATATTTCTCACAAGTGCCTAGTGTAAGACTTAGGTTCGTATTTGGTAAAAGAAAAAAGAAAGAAAGGTACCTAACCTAACCTAGCTGAAAAAATGTAGAGGGGGACAACCTTTATGTTATTGTTTTTAGTATGAAATTCCACCTCTTATCACTCCACAGCTATAGAGATTAAAATTTGTATTCTATGAAAGACCAAGTCCCATCTAATTGATTCCATAACTTTTTCCTTCTTACTTCTTGAAATCCATCTAATGATCCACTCATCGTATCCCTTCTTCTTTTACTTTTCCTTCCTACCAGACAATCTCGTATGGTTGAATTGGAGAGAAACTGCTAAGCATCAAGGCTTTATTTTTCATATCTCAAATTATTTGAATATCTAGAGTAAGTCCATCTGGAGGCGAGCAAGAGACTTGGAGTACGATTGTGGACCCGAAAGCAAGCAAATCTTAGAGTGAGTTGTGTTGAAAAAAGTACATGTGTACGTTGTCTCACATGAAAAATGGAAGAGGGTGTGAAGTGGTTTATATATATAGAATAACTTTAGACCCAATAGATTAACCTTTTAGGTCAAATTAGACTCCTGAAGTGTGTTAGGCTAGTTTCGCATGTGGTGTCTCTCTAACAATTGGTATCAGAGTGCCAAGATCAGAGCCCAGGAGAGCGAAATTGTGTGCAGTTACTGTAAAATTACTGTTCATAAATAGTGAAGTTACTGCAGCAGAGGCAGACATTGCGGATACAGATCATGTAGCAAATAAGGTTCCTGTAGCAAAATACGGTTACTGTAGCAATATGATGGGCCAGAAGATCAAGATCGAGAAGTTCAGCGGCATCGACAATTTTTCCCACTGGCAGCGAGAATGAAGGATCTCCTTATTCTACAAAAGGTCCATAAGACTCTATTAGGCAAAGAGAATAAGCCTAGTATGGTCAAGGACGAAGATTGGAAGGAGATGGATAAGATTGCGGCTAGCACAATTCGTCTAAATATCTCAGATACTGTCTTGCAAAATATCGAATCCAAAGAGTGAAAGATTGCTAAAGATACCTGGGAGACTTTAGAAAAATTGTACATGTCAAAGAATCTTTCTAGTAAGTTGTACTTGTGGAAGGAGCTGTACCGGATGCAGATGTCGGACAACGTAGATATGCCACAGTATTTAAGCAACTTCAACGGCATGATCTCACAATTATTAAAATTTGATGTGAAGTTCAGTGATGAAGAGAAAGCTGTACACATTTTGGCGACACTCCCTTCATCGTACGATCAACTCGTCACCACTCTTACTTACGGAAAGGATAAGTTGGAGTATGAAGTTATTGCAGAATCCTTGGTATCATTTGAGATGTAGAACAAGGCGCGAGGTGCGGATTCTCAAGCTTTTATTACAGAAAATAGGGGCAGAAGTCAAAACAAAGGAGGGAGGAACAAGAACGACAAGTCCAGAGGAAGATCAAAATTCAAAAATAGAAATTATGGCTATTATCATTGTGGGAAGTAGGGCCACATAAAGAAAAATTGTCAAATTTTGAAGCGAGATTAATTGCAGGAAGCCAGTTAAAAGAAGAATGGTGACGACAACAACACAACTACAGCAGCAGCCGTAGAAGAAGAAGTAGTTGTAGTGCTTACCAATGAATGCTTACATATTGGCGATAACATGGCCGAGTGGGTGGCAGATTAAGGAGCTTCTTTCCACATCACTCCTAGTAGAGAGATGTTTACCACTTACAAAGCAGGTGATTTTGGTAATGTGAAGATGGGAAATTTTGCATGCTCCAAGATTGTCAGAATTGGAGATGTAAGTATTCAGATGAATGTTGGTTGCCAGCTGACAATAAAAGATGTGAGGCATGTTCCAGATTTGTGCCTCAATCTAATCTCGGTAAACGCCTTAGACGAACAAGGGTACGAGAGTCACTTCAGTAACAAGAAATGGAAACTCTTTAAAGGATAGATGATCGTCGGGAGGAGAAAGCTTTGTTGCACGCTGTGAAGACTGATGTGAAGACTTTCGTGGACAGAGTAAATGTAGTAGTCAACGCTTCACCAAATCTATGGCATAAGCTGCTTGACCATGAGTGAAAATGGATTGCAACTCCTCGCAAAAAAAAAAAAAGTTTATTCGTTTGGAGAAAGGTACTTTATCTGATCCTTGTGATTATTACTTATTTGGAAAGCAACATAGAGTTTCTTTAAAAGTTCCTCTGTTAAAAGAAATGAAAGTTCCTCTATTAAAAGAAAAAGAGTATTAAAACGCGTATACTCTGATGTTTGTGGTCCTGTAGAAGTTGAGACCTTAGGAAGAGCCATATATTTTGTAACTTTCATAGATGATGCTTCTAGAAAAGTTTGGGTGTATCTATTGAAAACAAAAGACCAGGTCTTTATAGTATTTAAACAATTCCATGTCATGGTAGAAAGAGAAATATGAAAGCATCTAAAATGCCTTTGATCAGACAACGGAGGCGAAAGCACTTCCTATGAGTTTAGAGATTACTGCTCTAAATATGGGATCCAGAATGAGAAGACGGTACCTAGCACTCCTCAGATATTGGTGTAGCAAAACGGATGAATCGCACCATTATAGAGAGAGTTAGATGTATGTTAAGATCATCGAAGCTGTCGAAGCCTTTTTGAGGAGCATCTGTGCAGACCGCATGCTACTTGATCAGCAGGTCTCCATCAATTCCTTTGACGTTCCAAAAAGAGAGTGGGCCAAAAAGATGTTTCCTACTCTCATTTGAAGGTATTCGAGTGCAAGGCGTTTGTGCATGTGCCAAAGGAACAAAGACCAAAACTTGATGACAAGGCACTTCCATGTATCTTCATTTGCTACAGAGATGAATAGTTTGGGTACATGTTTTAGGATCCAATGAAGAAGAGGATCGTAAGGAGTAGAGACGCGGTCTTCCATGAGGATCAGACAATTGAAGATTTAGGTGAAGAAGAAAGACAACTTAAAAACGTTGCAGTTGAGCTAACTCCCCCACAACTACAGTTACCAAGTGGAGAATAAATGTAAGAAGCAATTGACAACTTAGAATTGCCTTATGATGATGATGATGTTGAAGAAGATGTGCTAGTATAATAGGATAACAATCAGGGAGAACAAAATCAAGAACTAAAGAATGACGAGCAGCCGCTCAGAAGGTCAACAAGAAATCGAATGTCATCCAGAAGATACCCGCCGTCAGATTATGTCCTTCTTACCGAAAGAGGGGAGCTAGAAAGATTCCAGGAAGTAACGGATCATAAAGACAAAGACAGGTGGATGGAGACCATGCAGGAGGAGATGCATTCCCTCATGAAGAACAACACCTATAAGTTGGTGAAACTTTCAAAAGGAAGGAAAGCCTTAAGGAACAAATGGGTCTTCAAATTAAAAGATTATGGATGCAGCAATCTGGTGAAGTACAAAGCTCGATTAGTCGTCAAGGGCTTTGGACAGAAGAAACGAATCGATTTTGATGAAAATTTCTCTTCGGTGGTGAAAATGTAATCAATCAGAGTAATCTTGGGATTAATAGCTAGCCTAGATCTCAAGATTGAATAGATGGATGTGAAGACTACATTTCTTCATAGAGATTTAGAAGAAGAAATTTACATGCAGCTGCCTGAAGGTTTTGAGGTCAAGGAAAAAGAACATCTAGTCTGCAAGTTGAAAAAGAGCATGTATGGTTTAAAATAGGCTCCACGGCAATGGTACAAGAAGTTCGATTCATTTATGATGGATCTAGAGTACAAGAGAACTGCAGCAGATTCATGTGTCTACATCAAGAAATTTCTTAGTGAGAAATTCATCATCCTGCTATTATATGTTGATGACATGTTAATAATTGGCCACGATGCTAAAATGATCAATTAGCTGAAGAAAAAACTCTTTGGAATCTTTGACATGAAAGGCTTGGGTCTAGCTAAACAAATTTTAGGAATGGAGATAATCCAAGATAGGAGGTCTCAAAGGTTATAGCTGTCACAAGAGAACTATGATGAACGAATACTTGAAAGG